TACTGAATCTCAGTAAAACTAGGACCGAAAGGAGTCACATGAAATACCATGTCTCCTTCCTTTTTGAACACGAGAATGTCACCGATGCAAAGGGAGTGTGCTTGGGCGAAGGCTTCCCAACCATCGGTGAGTCTTCTTCCTTCTTGTATAACTTCCCAAGTTTGGTGTGAAGCGTCCAATCGTAGTGTCCATTTTCCTTGGTTCGGCGTGCCTTCTATGTGTTTTGCGTAGAAGGCAAGTGGTATTGTCTACAAGTCAACAAAGGAGAAGATAAGCAAAGGAAATAAACAGAGGAGAAATAGAGAGCGTGTGTATACCACGCCACTGTAGAAACCAGGAAGCTGAGGCTTCAAGAAGTGAGGTTCATGCTGATTCGCCATCTGCAAACAAGAAACAAATTGGAAACATTTTAATTCTAAGTCGTATGGGTCGTCCACCTTGTAGACTTATAATTAAGTCGTCTGGAAAGTCTTCCAGGTGAAAGACTTTCCAGACGACTTAATTATAAGTCTACCAAGACTTCCAGTAGAACTTCCAGGTGGACGACACTAAAATGACCGTAAAATGAGAGGAAAACAACATCCAACCTAACTAAACAACAAGTCGACTGAAATCCCCAATTTTTGAAACCCTAATTTGAAACCAAAATTACCCCAAATCGTTGAAAACACAAAACCAAACGGTAAAAGTTAAAGAAAACAACATCCATCCTAATAAAACCCCATAAATCTGCATGAGAAGCCTTCGATTTACCTTGGTCTTGTATCGGAGCGAAATCGCCTCCAAATCACCTGTGAGAGAAACGGCGTTAGGGTTTTCTGAATTTTGCGAAAAGTGCGTAAAAAAAAAAAATCTTCTTATATATATCCGGTCAAAAAACCGGTTAGGTTAACAAGTAATTTGGTAAAATCCGGTTTGGACGACTTATTATTAAGTCGTCTGTTGATACTATACATCCGACTAAGTCGTCTGCCTTATTAAATATATTTACCAAACGACTTAATTATAAGTCGTTCAGACCCTAAACCCTAAACTAAATTGACTAAATTAACTACTAACCATGTTATCAAATCAAATTATACTTAAATATTGTTTACTATACACAGAAATAAACACACTTAGGTAAATTTTAAAGTTTTCAAAAAACATTTATGCTTTCGAATTTCTAACCCTAAGAAACACATACAATACTACAACATATGTTGGTAAAACCTAAACTAAAGAATATCATCACTCACTACTTTCACTCATATATGCTGAAAACAACTGACTTTTTTTATATCTTAATTTATATCGCTTAAGACATATGTTTTTATTAGATTTTGAATGGATTAATGTGATTAATCTTTGGTAAAGTAAGAATAATATTTTTTTTTTCATTATATATATGTTTGGATAAGAATAATATTTTTTTTTTCATTAACGTTTTTCATTATCGTTTAATATTTTTTTTTGTACCTCTAGAAAAGCAAGCCTATAACGAATTATGTATTTAGTTTTTGTGGTAAAAAATTTCTGTGATATGTATTTTTCCCAATATGAACCAGTTCTTGTGAGTTTCTTCTTTATCTATATCTTTATCATATCTCTGGTTTTGAATGGACCTCAATTGTTTGTTAAGTTTTTTCGATGCTATGCACAGATTATATATACTATATAAAATTTCATTTAATTATACTGATATTTGCTTTTTTTTTTATTAGTGTTTCTTCAAATTTTGTTTGTACAGAGAAGAGAAGAGACGACCACAAAAACAATACAACGTTACCACACATCATATGAGTCCACGAGCCTTCTTCTTGCCAAATATCAAATCTATATTTGGGAGTCTAGAGATTGGCAACTTGTTTCTAGTATTCAGGGCAGTACAAGCTTATCAGGTGTTCTTCGTTCGTGCTCTTTCTTGACTCATACCATCTTACTGATTCTGAAGACCCAAATATCAAATCAGCATTGCCTTCAATACCACCAGAAGGAACAGTTATGTCAATCGATAATATTAATAAAAAAAATCAAGAGTTCCATTTTTTTTTGTTTATTCTGACATGAAGAAGCTTTTTGTTCCTCTTCCTTGGTCCCATGAAGTATCATTGTGCCTGTGAGCACAGTGATGAATCCACATATCTCAGAGGCTACGCTAGCTGCATCTTGCCCAGACCAATCCTGTCAGAAGCATTACACGAAGTGTTTATAAACAAAATTTCTGAAACAAAATTTTGTTGAGGGAGACAGTGTGTAGTTGAAACCTGCCTTGAACATTATGGCACTAGCAACAATTGTGAGGGTAGTGAACTTTACATAGTAGACAGGAGAAACAATTGCTGCATTTCAATTAAAAAAAAAAACAAAACAATTGCTGCATTTGTGTCCAAAGCCTGCCAAGATTTCCAACAAATCAGCACGGGTATAGTATATCTGGTTGATCATCAACTGATGGATATGGACATCAAAAAAGAATTTAGAAAAGGGGGGGGGGGGGAGATAACCTTGTTGAGATAAATCAATTGAGTAACGACACAGGAGACAACAACGATGAGAAAAAACCAAGTCTGTGGGTACCTGATCTGGCTGACTCCCTCCATAGTTAACTTAATGGCCATTCCAATAGCCTTGATGCTCATAACATCACCTAGGCCTCCAACCTGCAGGCAATAAACACACATTAACCTAAGACATTTTTTGTACACAATGTTTTGACTGCTATAAACCTCATATCTTACTGTTACCTTTGCAATGGGTGCCACTTCAACAACAATATGAACAATGTCTAATGGTGGTTCCTTGGCAATACCTCCCACGACTGGTAAGTGTTAATCCAAGCCATATTTGTTATCAAATACTCCACCATCTTCTTTCTCGGAGAAAAAAAAGTCCAACCTTAGCTGGAAAGACACAAGAAAAAAAAGAAAAATCTTAGTCACATATCATAAAACAGCCTCTATAATACAAATCTTACCGGAAGTCTTCACGTGTGAGCTTCCATCATCTGCTGCTTCCATTTTCTGAGGTGGCAAAGGACCCAAGCAATGAGTCCAACGATTAAAAGAGCCTCTAAACCAAACCTCAGGCTTTCCATTTAGAACCGTGTTTGAAGGATTGTAGAAAACTGTCACTGGTCTTCCATCTTGAATCTCTAGAGGCTCGGTGTAAACAACATCTTTCTGAGAAAGCAGAAACTTTTGAAGTGTTCTTTCCTTTATTTCTGCTTTCAAGCGAGCTGTTTTCTCCATCTGCCATAGAAAGTAGAAACAAAGATAAAGATATGTAAATCAGTACTATTAGATGTACTGAGCAATACCTTGACACGCATGCTTCCTCTTTTAGCCGCCTCTCCTCCTGAGGTTTCCAAAACATCAGACTTTCTTTCTATGTTAAATCACCATTGAATACAGATGATGCTCACCTCGTACTAATTTAGGGTTTATGATTGTGGCAACAGTGCCTTTAGGCTCCATAACCGATGCCTCTCATTTGTGATGCAGCTGACTTGCAACCATATGAAAGACGCAACGACACATGGTTGTCATTCTACAGAGTGTCTGGATGTTTATCATGAGACCAACAACATTAGATAACCTAAAGAAAATACAAACTGTTGACTATAAATCATTAGAGTTAGGCTTACGCACATGCCATAACACAGCCTGAATTTCATCGTTGTAGGTGGTCTTAATGCCATAAACATCACCAAAAAAGTCTACAGATTTAGTGCCTAACACATTCCGGCAACTTCATTTATGTATTTGCGAAAGCCATAATCTCGAAATCTGAAATACTCTTCGCGATAATCTCTGTCGTCTCTGTAAGCTCCACAATTTTGGTCTGATCGAATGGTAATAGGTGAGTATAAGCACCCCTAGCAATTTTGATCTAAAAAAAAAAAGATCCAATCTTTAAATGAATCCCCCAAATAAGAAAGAAACCTAATACTAAAATCAAAAATCCTTACCAGGATGAGTTCGAAGTTAAAACCCTTATCAGGATGAGTTTGATCGATCTTCATCGTCGGAGGAAGCACCACCATCTACGACCTCTGTCTTGGAACCAGTGGCATCCACGTGCTTCTTGCAGTTCTCAATCACCTTCCCGAGGATCTTGTTTGTGACGTCGGGAGCCATTGAACATGTGTATTAATCGCCTTTTCCCATCACGTTGAGGTTTCACGGAGGATGAGACGAACTTCTTCTAGGTCTTGTTGCCGGTGGGGATTGGAGAATTGCAACTCGGATCCATCCCAATATGTATGAGAGAGTATATAAAATCTTTAAGAGTTTGATGGAAACATAATCTGTGAGGACAGATCTATAAATACAACTATTTGGAGGAAGGTGAAAGGAGGAATGCATTGCAAAGGATTGAATGCAATGAACAACAGATTGATTACACAGAGAGTGGAGAAATGAATCGATGAAACAAGATAGGTGAAGGAGAGAGACAGGAAGACGAAAGGAATACAAATATCTAGTGCTTCCTTGTTTTCTACGTAACAAAAACCGAAGAGAAATTGAGAATTAACCAAATAAAGACCAAAACCAGATACCAATTTAGACCAAAACCAAACCTGGTTTCCTATGTGGCAGATTAGAGTAATCCTATAACTAAATATTATTGTCCACGTAGACACTGTGAGAAGGCTTCATTTAGGCCTTTTAATAGTGTAAGATTAGGTGTTTTGCCCACATGTGTGTACCTAATATTTTTATTAATTAATAAACAAGTACCCTAAGTTATTATTATGTTTTCAAAATTTTTAATCAAACATAAAATTATTTCTATATAAAAAAGTTTTTCATCAAAATATATATGTTTGTTGTTGTGTTGAATTTTAAATACACTCACATATTATAATATTTTAGAAAACATATTTATAAAAATGTTTATAGATTAATATTCTATTATAAATTATTTTATGCTTTAATTTTAAAATTTATAATAGAATTCAATTATTTTTAGAAGCCAAAAATCAATAATATAAAAAAATCAGGATATATATATATATATAAGAATTATCATATTGTTACAATTTTAGTTCCAGATAACAACAATATATATATATATATATATATATATATAAGAATTTTATCTTATTTTGAATTCTATTATTTTTGATAATTTTATTATAATAAATATGTTCAATTATCTTAGCAAATAATATATTAATCTAATATTATTTTATAAATTTTTTTAATTATATTTTAATTTTATATATATATATATATATATATTTCGTTAAAGCTAGTATAGATATTAACCGTTCTAATTTTTAAACGTGATTGCTCGAATACAAAAAATAACTTCACAAATTAGTATAAATAAATAAATAATTTAGAAAAATATCTTTTTACAATTTTTTTCTCTGATTAATATTTAATCATAAATAGTTTTATATTATGCTTTTAAAATTTTCTAAAAGATGAATATTATTTTCAGAAGCCAAAAATCAATTATATCTAATATTACTATATATATATATATAGAAAAATTATCATATTTTATAATATTATTTCAGATAACAACAATATAAATAAGAGTTAGGTGATATATCCACACTCATGTGCGGACAAAAAATACTTGCAGACAAACAAAATTATAATCTTATATATTAAAAGAGAAGTCATGACTTCACTTCATGTGTGATATTTTAAAATGGACCATCTAATATAATTTATAACATTATATTATTCAATCATTAATAACATTCATTAGATTCACTAATAACATTTATTAGGCTTATTAAAAATTTTTATTGGGCCAATAAAAATTAGATGATTCATTGGATTTATAGATATATTATAATAAAGGGAACTACATGTTTAAATTAAACATACATAATTTAATATTGTAATAATATAAGTTAATTATTTATATACTTTTGATGTTAACTTTAAAAATTATATAGTTTATTTTTAAAAATAACAAAATCATCATTTTCTAACAATAATTAATTTATACTATATAATAATTAATCATCATTTTCGATATACACACTATATATAATATATACTAAATTAGAAGTAAGAAAATATTTATATAAAAATAAATGAAAACAAATACCCGCGCGGTTGCTCGGGTTGAGATCTAGTCTATTATATTAAAAGAGAAGTCATGACTCACTTGATGTGTGATTTTTTATTTTGGATCATCCTTAAATATTTTATAAAATTTTACATAACATCATTATAATATCTTTTCATATCTTTAGTTTTTATTTGAAATACAAATAAATAGTTTTAAGAAAATTTTAACAAAATCTTTTACAAAATCTTTTAGAATATTTACAAGATATAGTTTCAAAAATTATTAGATTAAAATTTTAATTATCATAAAATATAATTAAAATTTTAATTCATTTTTATTTATAAACAAACAATTAAAGTTATGTAAAATACTTTTAACAATATCCCAAAATTTTGTTATGTATTATGTAGGTCAAACTTAATTTACTTTTTACATATATTTCAAATTTAGAAATAAAACAAAATATATAAATTAGTAATGTTACATAATAATGTTTTTACATATTGTTAATAATATACAAATTTATAAATTTTATATTAGTAATATTATAAGACACAAAAATATTATTATAACATTGGATAGTATACAGAATCAAAATATATTTATTTGTTGATAAATTTTACTACCTCCGTTTCTTAATATATGATGTTTTATTGCACAAAGATTACGAAATATACATTCTTTTACAACAGTATTTTTGCAGATATAATTTTAAAATCATTCAATCAATTATTAAAAAGATGTAAAATTTTATTTGTTGAACATTTTCCAATAAAATTAAAAGTAACCTTAAAACCTTAAACTATACCTTAAAATTTCAAAACGTCTTATATTTGAAACAAAATAAATATTTTAAAAACATCATCTAATTTGAAACGGAAGGAGTATTATATATTTTCAAATATTTTCGTACTAAAATACCCGCACGGTTATGCGGGTCGAGATCTAGTAGTTTAGTTAATATTTGAATTTATTTTAGTTTATGTGTTTGTGTATAATTATTTTATTTTAACTATAAATCTTATTTATGAGTTGTTGAGTTGTGGTGCTTTAATTTCTTGTATTGTCAATTATTCCATTTATCCATGATATTTGTTTCTAAGATTCTAATAGTTTTAAAATTGATATGGTTAGTTAATTTTGGTTACTCAGCTACTTATGATTGTAATTACATATTGTGATTATTTTTATTAAATATTGAGTTTTCAATAATTTGCTGAGTAATAAAATCTAAAACTGAGAAAATTGTTTTTTTTTGTTTAGGCACATGGTAAAAGTTTTGTACTAATTATAGTGAAGAATAATAATGTTAATCAAAGTTGTTAGTGTAAACAACAAATGTTTCTTTGACTAAAACAACAAAAAGAAAAAAACCTAATTTAAACTATTTAATGTTTTAGATACCTCTTTCTAAATAACATTTTTGTGGCTATTTTTCTTCATTAGTAATATAAACAAAAAATCAAACCAGCCCTTGACTTGACTATGGAAACTGATACATATACAGTTGTCTGTGAGAAAAAACAAAACCAGATTTTGGTATTGGCTCTTATTAATTCCTCCAAATATTTTTCTTGTTTCTAACCTACAAACAGCCTAGTCTAATTCATTATCTGATCGACAGGAGGACCGTTTGGTCATTTACATTCTCCTAGTTGAAATAAAAAGGCCCCCAATATTTTTGTTATAGGTAGTTTGCTAATTATTAATTTTTATTAGGATTTTGACCTAATTGACTCTATAAATAAATCAATTTTAAACGTTTATTGAAAATTCAAATTTTCATTCCTATAACTTTATGAGTTAAAAATTTATTTTATAAATTAAAAATATGAGTTTTAATGATTACCCCATCAATCAAAATTATCTTAATAGAAACATCTTCTTTAAGATACTTTTCAAAGCGTCATGCTGGTATGCACTATGATGTCGATTCGGAATTTATCAAATGTAAACAATGGAAATTAGTTTTACAAATAAAGAACATGATTTTCTCATGAATAAATAAGAATCTTACATATTTTGAGTTGATAATTTTTAGGTTTAGTTTTATGTCGATAGTTTAATAGTTTAGATTTAAGAGAATCAATCTCTTATTTATGTAGATTTTGGAGGCTTTCAGATAATATTAGGATTGTGAGTTTATAACTAGTGTAAAAAGAATTAAACTATGTAGAGATATATAAGAAATAGGAGATTGTATGATTATCAAAAAGTAGAATCTTTCTTTATTAACTACCTATAATAATTTTTGTAACTAACCTATAAATAAATTAATAATTTATAAATTAATATACACCAAAAATTTCTATAAAATAATATAATCTTATAGTTTCAAATTAAAATTTTGATTCACTTAATATATCGATAAATTAATATTTTCTATAAATTAATAAAAAAATATAATTTTTACTTAGTTTCAATATTATTAATTTATAGAAATTTGATTTTGTAACAGATAAAATTAACCTAACGGCGCATACGACTGTATCTTAGTTTATTGATCTGTCTGACAACTATAAAACTTTGAAGTTTGAATCAATACTATGACGTCCAGTTCATTATTATGTATATATTTTTTCTTAAAGAAAGACTGAAATATAATAATTAAATGGCGTACACATAGTGTTTAGTATTTACATATAATATAATTCCACTAATTAAAACCTCTAACATCACATGACAAATAAGAATTGGTCATATAATGCGTCAAAGTCAGAATAATTATATTTCTGTTTGCAAGGTTTCAAATATTATACTATTTAAATTAATAAATTGTAACTCAGCTAAAAACTAATACAAATATGACAAACAAATAAAATCAACTAAAATAATGGAGAACATGACCAAAATCAATTCTCAAATAATAATATAGATTATTTTATTTTTTGAATTTTTTTATTTTTGATAAATTTATTATATTTATTAATAACAATTATCTAAGATAATAACCTATTAATCTAATATTGTTTTATAAATTTCGTTTTTAGTCATATTATAAAGTATTCATATAAATTTCATTAAAGATAGTATAAATATTGTTTCTCTAGATTTTAACGTGAGAGATAGGAATGGCAATCTGGACCGCGGCCCGCGGGCTATTCTCATAAAAGGCCCATACGGGGCGGGTTTGGGCCAGCATATTATCGACCCGATAATTAGCGGGCCTTGCTGGTATTGATTTCGCGGGTTTGGGCCGTTGCGGTTTGGGCCATTGCGGTCTTGCGGGTTTAGCAAAGAACCGCTTTGCCTTCTGTTTTTCCTTCTTGCTGTCGGCACCTGAAAAAAAAGAAGATGATTTGAAGGCGATATCACCGACGATATCACCAACGACACTCCTCGAGCTTCGACAGTACCTCCGGCGTCCGTTTCAAGCTCAGTTGATCACCAGAGGAGCATCGACTTTGTCCTCTGTCGATGTCCAAACCGTTTCGTCCAACCACATGAGCTACTCTCCTTCCTCGTCCAACCACCGGAACGTCCCTGGTTTGATCTCAATGTCTACGATCTAATCTTCTCACTGGTTTGGTCAGGTGTTCAAGGTAATAAGTCTTTTTGTCTCTTGTCATGTTTTGGTCAGGTGTTCAAGGTAATAAGTCTTTTTGTCTCTTGTCACCTGACCAACACTCGTTCGATCAAGTGACCATCTCCTCGTCTCGTCATGGGATAAGGTTAGAAACTCTTCTCTAACTTCACTTGATCGAACTCCTTTTCATTCATCTGAATCGTATCTTGTTCTTGTGTAAGCGTGTGAGATTGTATGATGTGAGCACCAATTCGTTGAAAGGAGAGTTCATACACGGCGGCGCGGTGCTCGATTGCTGTTTCCACGACGATTCCTCTGGTTTCAGTGTTGGCAGTGATAACAAAGTCAGACGGTAGTTAGAAACCACTGTGGATTTTATTTGGTTACTAATCTCAACTTTTTTGAAGAAGAAGAAACATAAAAGAAAGTTTTTGTGTGTTTTGGTTAAATATGGTTTCAGGATTGTTTTCAGTGTTGGGAAAGAGGATGTTTTGGGGACGCATGAGAAGCCTGTGCGGTGTGTTGAGTATTCTTATGCTGCTGGTATGTTAAATCACTATGCTCTGTGCTAGTTTTGAAACAGTGACATATGATCACTATGTGTGTTAAAGAGTGCAGTTTGTAACAGTGATCACTATGTGACTATTTCTGGTGCTTTTTGTGTATATAAAACTCATCATAGTTAAGCAGTTTCTGTTAATATTACGCTGATGATACTTCACTTGAAATGTTTTATCATAGTTGAACAGTCACATTGACCATTTCTGATGCTTTTCATGTCTAGAAAACTCTTTGTTAAGCAATTACTATGGACAGTGAACTCTGGTTTTCAAACTAACAATTTATTTTGTGAAGTTACTTATCTGAAATTCATGTTTATTTTATTCCAGCATTTAGGTTCAAGCCTGCCTACAAGTGATGTTGACATTTTATGGTTTTCTTCTTCTTGTGTGATGATACAGGGCAAGTGATCACTGGATCTTGGGATAAAACAGTTAAGTGTTGGGATCCGAGAGGTGCAAGTGGCCCTGAACGGACTCAGGTGGGAACATACGTGCAACCAGAGCGTGTTTATTCTCTGTCTCTCGTTGGAAACCGTCTCGTTGTGGCAACAGCAGGAAGGCATGTCAACATCTACGATCTCAGGAACATGTCTCAGCCTGAGCAAAGAAGGGAGTCTTCACTCAAATACCAGACGAGATGTGTTCGTAGTTATCCTAATGGAACAGGTTATATGTCTCAGCATGACTGACTTACAAGAGAGAGAGGCAGGATCATTGCAGGTACTTGTCTTTTTGGGTTATTTTTGTTTACGTCCCTGTTTTTTTTTTTCTGGTTCTTATCAGAATTCTTGGTTGTTTTAATGGGATATTCAGTGCTGCGGGCTATGTGACACCTACTATATTGCCCATGTGAAAGATGCATATTGTCAACTTTCCAGGACAAGATGAAAGAAGAGGTAAGCTGTTTCCCTTGAAGAATTATACTCTCTTGAACAAGTGCTTACATCTGAGTACTGTAATTTGTTTTGTTCCAAAACTGATTTAAAGTACTAAGGCTACTCAATGTTGATAATATACTAGTGTACAAATTTAGGAAGAGCAGAGCAAAGAACTTCATGTAATTACTTCTAAAAGAAACACAAATCATATCGAGACTTTTTCTTTGAACGTTTCTTTTTCAGGAGGCACTAAAAAGAAGGCTGAATGCAAGGATGGAGTACGCAAAGTTTCATGAACAAGGTTCGCTTATCTTGTTACCTTGTACTGTTGGTCTCTCCTAATTGTTTTCTTTAGCTCTAGTCTACTTGTTAGTTTAGTCTTATGTAGTAGAAAACTGAATATGCTAGGTTATCGGATTTGTAGTCTTGTAGATATATTGCTTGATGTTAGTTTACTTGCTTTGCTTTTGAGTTTTGATTTACGTACATAATGTAAAAGAGTTATAATTTTACTTCTAAAATATTATAAAACTTAACCAATAAGAAATAAAGAGATAATTCAAATATTTTGAAATTAACATAAAAAATACAAAAATACCCTAACAAGTAACAACTAAACCTAAACTCAAGCGTACGTGAGGTAAACTAAAAACAAACAAAGAAACTTGAGAAAAGAAGCGGCTATGGATCCCAACTGCAAGCACGTGGATACCTGTGACTTAGAAACCTTTGATCCTAATTTCATGCCATTGAATACCTGTGACCTTGAGACTCAAGGACTGCTGGCATCTCTTGGCGCTACTGCTGATGCTGCTGATGATGATGAGGCTGAGGATCTCGGTTCTGGTGGAAAGAAGCAAGAGCGGAAACGGAGGCTGATAGAAGTTGGTTCTGATGATGATGAAGTCGAAATCACCGCTCCTCCAACTCAATCCTCCCAGCCTCGCAAGCAATTTAGTTTCGGATCAGGGAGTGGATTTGAAACCTCTTCAAAGGCTACTCAAAGCAAGAAGAAGCCGAGTGTTGCTATAATACGTGGAGGAAGGAGGTCTTCAAAGCCGACTCCAAATAATGGAAAGAAGAAAGCTTTGGAGTCTAAGCAGCCAGTGGCTGGTGAGGAATCTGAGGATATTAACGTGGGTGATGATTCTGATGACAATAAGAGGGAGAGTAGGCAAAGGTCTAAGGTTTGGGATGATTTTGTTGTGATTCGAAAAACCAATGGCGAGGAGAAGGCTAAATGCATTCACTGTAAGAATGAGTATGCCTGGAGCTCCCACTCGCATGGAACTTCGGCGTTGATAAGGCACACACA